CCCTGGCCTGCCAGACCCGCCACCTAGGCATGTGCCTTTCATTCTAAGAAGCTCATTCCCACTTATCAATATTATGAAATCCCAAACAAGGAACTTCTGCCCAGCAAGCCAGCTTCGAGGAGTGGTGGCACTACCTGGGGGGGCCCAACACCCAGTCCAAGTACACATGGCCCTCAAGAACTTGGAATATTTATGGAAGGCCAAAGCCCGCAATCAGAGGCTGCTCCACTGGGCCCTGTTCTCCTCCTATTTCAATTTTACGGCCGCCTATTGTCCAGGCGCGAGCAGCAGTAGAGCGGACACTCTATCCCAAAAAGTGGAGGACTGTGCTGATTGGAAGAGACCCAACCAAGAGACCTATGTCCTTAAATCCCATAACTTTCTTGGTGTGACAATGCACCTGGACCTGCGCGACCTAATCCACTCAGCCTCTGCCCAGGGGTCTCCCCTTGGTGACCAGGAAGCCATAGATCAGGAAGTGCATGAGTTCAGAGATGGATTGACCTTTGTGAAGGGACATACATATGTTCCCCCAGCTGTCCCCATGTAATGGCCCTGTGGATGTGCCAAGATTCCCGCAGGCGGGGCATTTCGGCTGTTCCAAAACCCAGCATCTGGCCTCCTGTTTCTTTTGTGACCTTTCATGCATGCCACCACGCAGATATATGTAGCCTCCCATGACATATGCACCCGCATTAAGGTGCCACACAGCAAACCCTGTGGGCTCCTCCAACTTCTGGAAACTCGAACCAGGCCCTGAGCAGCCATCTCGCTAGACTTCATCATGGTACTACCTGGGTATCCAAGCATCTTAACTATCATCAGTCACCTCACGAAGATGGTCCACGTCGTGCCCTGCCCCCAGTTACCTTCCTCCGAGGAGACTGCCCACTGTGGGTAAACCAGGTTGTCCGCCTCCATGGACTCTCTGAGCCCATTGTTTCTGACCATGGTGCTCAGTTCATCTCTCACTTCTGGAGGGAGGCTCTCCAATTGTTGGGAGGACACTCCTGCCCTTTCTTCAGCTTATCATCCCCAAACAAATGGCCAGAGGAACAGGTTGAACAAACTCCTGGAGCAGTATTCTGGTGCTACTTCCATTGGAATGACTGGTCCTCGCTGTTCTTCTATGCAGAGTTCTCATAAAATAACACGGAACACTCCTCTACAGGTGAACTACATCTTCCACTTCTGATCTCACCCTGAACTGCCCACACTCTCCCCTAACCCAGCTGTTTTGGAATGGGCACAATTGATCCATCGTACCCAGGGGGAGCTAATGACCTGCCTGGAGGAAGCAAAACAGGACTACAAGCGGTATGTGGACCAACAACAACAGAAAGGTCCCGACATTCTGTAGGCCAGAAAGTATGGCTCTCAGCAAAGCATCTCTGTATCGACAGACCACCCCATAAACTTGATCACCAATTCCTCAGCCCATATCGAATCTGCCAACTGATCGATCCTGTCGCTTTTGAACTCCACCTGTCTCGTTCTCTCAGAATCCACCTGGTATTTCATGTGTCCCTACTGAAGCCATATGTGACCAACCCCTTTCCCCGCTGGACCCAGCCACCCCCCCACACCTGTGCACACCTGTGCACGTTCAGGGAAGAAGGAGGATCCTGGGAACTACAGGCCAGTCAGCCTCACTTCAGTCCCTGGAAAAATCATGGAGCAGGTCCTCAAAGAATCAATCCTGAAGCACTTACATGAGAGGAAAGTGATCAGGAACAGCCAGCATGGATTCACCAAGGGAAGGTCATGCCTGACTAATCTAATCGCCTTCTATGATGAGATTACTGGTTCTGTGGATGAAGGGAAAGCAGTGGATGTATTGTTTCTTGACTTTAGCAAAGCTTTTGACACGGTCTCCCACAGTATTCTTGTCAGCAAGTTAAGGAAGTATGGGCTGGATGAATGCACTACAAGGTGGGTAGAAAGCTGGCTAGATTGTCGGGCTCAACGGGTAGTGATCAATGGCTCCATGTCTAGTTGGCAGCCGGTATCAAGTGGTGTGCCCCAAGGGTCGGTCCTGGGGCCGGTTTTGTTCAATATCTTCACAAATGATCTGGAGGATGGTGTGGATTGCACTCTCAGCAAATTTGCGGATGATACTAAACTGGGAGGAGTGGTAGATACGCTGGAGGGGAGGGATAGGATACAGAAGGACCTTGACAAATTGGAGGATTGGGCCAAAAGAAATCTGATGAGGTTCAATAAGGATAAGTGCAGGGTCCTGCACTTAGGACGGAAGAACCCAATGCACAGCTACAGACTAGGGACCGAATGTCTAGGTAGCAGTTCTGCGGAAAAGGACCTAGGGGTGACAGTGGACGAGAAGCTGGATATGAGTCAGCAGTGTGCCCTTGTTGCCAAGAAGGCCAATGGCATTTTGGGATGTATAAGTAGGGGCATAGCGAGCAGATCGAGGGACGTGATCGTTCCCCTCTATTCGACATTGGTGAGGCCTCATCTGGAGTACTGTGTCCAGTTTTGGGCCCCACACTTCAAGAAGGATGTGGATAAATTGGAGAGAGTCCAGCGAAGGGCAACAAAAATGATTAGGGGTCTGGAACATATGAGTTATGAGGAGAGGCTGAGGGAGCTGGGATTGTTTAGCCTGCAGAAGAGAAGAATGAGGGGGGATTTGATAGCTGTTTTCAACTACCTGAAAGGGGGTTCCAAAGAGGATGGCTCTAGACTGTTCTCAATGGTATCAGATGACAGAACGAGGAGTAATGGTTTCAAGTTACAGTGGGGGAGGTTTAGATTGGATATTAGGAAAAACTTTTTCACTAAGAGGGTAGTGAAACACTGGAATGCGTTACCTAGGGAGGTGGTAGAATCTCCTTCCTTAGAGGTTTTTAAGGTGAGGCTTGACAAAGCCCTGGCTGGGATGATTTAACTGAGAATTGGTCCTGCTTTGAGCAGGGGGTTGGACTAGATGACCTTCTGGGGTCCCTTCCAACCCTTATATTCTATGATTCTATGATTCTATGACTATGATGAGTATATGGACCACAAAATCCTCAATTCTAAAACGAAGCAGGGTAAGCTGTGGTATTTGATTGGAGGATTACAGGGCTAAGGAGTGATCCTGGGAGCCTGCTGAAAATGTTCCTGCTCCCAAACTTGTAAAAACCTTTCATGAGAACCCACACTTATTGCTGCCCTAGGGATGGGGGTAATGTGATGCCCCGGGTCTTGAACCCACGCCTGCGTGTGCCCAGATAACTGCCATATCCTGGCCTCCACCCAATCTCTGCTGAGAAGTCCTTAGGATGACAGTCTCAGCCAAGGCACCACCCACAGGAGCCATGATTGGAGGATCACCCAGTTCCACTGATTGGTCCAACTACGCTGCATTGGATCCTGCTTGTACCTGCCTGCTGCACCCACCCCTGTTCTGGATTCACTGCTCCTGCCTTCACTCCTATTCCCATCGTGTTCCTGCCCTGTGCCTGATCCCTGATCCTCGCCTCTCCTCCAGCTCCTTTCCTCAATTCCACCCTCAGTTACCAGTCCCGGCTCCAACCCGGCCTCCGACTTCTGAGCCCGGCTCTGAACCTCGGCTTCAATCTCTGACTCTGGCTTGGCCCCGGCTCTGGTAATTGGCAGTTGTCTCTGGTGCTGACGCACGGCTTTGCTCTGTCACCAGACCTGACTTCTGGGCCAGACCACCTGCTCCCAGAATCAGACCTTCCCTCTTACGATGCTGCAGGGTCATAGGCAGTGGGCCAGAACCCTCTTTCCTGGACAGGGTATCTGGTACTACATTTTCCTTCCCCTTAATACGCACAATTTCCATGCCATGTTCTTGGAGCGTTTGGAACCAGTGCCCTTGGTTCTGTGTAACCAAATGAACGGGAAGTGGTCGGATAATACACTGAATTTCCTGTTTAAGAGCAAGGGCCTTAATTGTTTGATTACCCACATAATGGCATAACTCTCTTTCTATGGCAGAGTAATTCTCCCACGTTCTTAACTTCCAGACGCTCAGACCCTTACGATGGATAATGCAGCAGGAAAGGCAGGGTGAGTGAAGAAATGCAAGCTCACCAAGTAGCCGTTGGCAGAGCCGTCATATACAGACTGTGGTCGTGAATTTACGTGTTTGTGTAGCTATAAACCTGTGCTCATAATTCATCCTGCAATATTTAGCTTCATCTCACAGCCAGGCAGGGAGGGGCTGCGTCCCCAACCAGGTGAGACTAGACCCAGGCATTCAGCCTTGCACAACTCAGGAAAAGGTGTGATGTGGACGGCCCCTTCGAGCCCCAGGCTACTGTGAAAGCTGCTGCACAGTCGGTAAAGGGGGTGGGAACAGACTCCGTAAAGAAACGCCGGGTGGTCTCTGAATCATAGAATCACAGAAGATCAGGGTTGGAAGGGACCTCAGGAGGTCATCTAGTCCAACCCCCTGCTCAAAGCAGGACCAATCCCCAACTAAATCATCCCAGCCAGGGCTTTGTCAAGTCTGACCTTAAAAACTTCTAAGGAAGGGGATTCCACCCCCTCCCTAGGTAACGCATTCCAGTGTTTCACCACCCTCTTAGTGAAAAAGTTTTTCCTAATATCCAAATAAACCCGCCCACAATAGTTTACCTGTCTGGAAAGAGGCAGAAGCAGAGCCCCCCCCCGCCATCACAGGGATTTTTCCATGGACTGGAGGCTATGGGCTAGTCCTGGTTGCTCCAGAAGTGACCAGTAGTGCCCCTGCCTGCAGCACGTGGACACCAGAAGCTCCAGAGCACAACCCCAGTGCAGAGCCTGATCTCCGAGGCTGCCTGCGTTTCTGGGGGGAAAGTCCCTGGAGCAGGATCCTGATCACCGTGAGATCAGCTCCCAGCGGTTGGAGTGCAGCTGGAGGCAGGAAAATCCTTACTGTTCCTCCCCTGGCCATCCGTCAGCTCTGGGCACGAAGCCAGCTGGTGTTCCGTTTAAAATGAATATTGGAAATACGCAAAGCAAAACCAGTCATACCATGTGACAATGAGAGTGTCTGTTGCTCACTCACTGGGGGTGTAACATGATCACCACCCACAGCTCGTATAAAAACGAGTCTGGCAGGCATGAGGGCCGGCACTGCATGGCAGGAGCTCCTGGTCCCTCTGGAGGTGAGAGGACAGAAGCAGACTTTCCGGGCTGCCTGAGCACGTGAAGAGAAGCCTCACCCAGCCTGCAATGGGGAGCTGTTTAAACCGGCCGCAAGGTAAGAGGGAACGATCCGGACACACTGCACGGTCCTGTCCCCCGGGGGGAGAGGGCTGCAGTTGCCCGCGGTACAGCAAGGGAGCACCTGCATGGGCAGGCGGAGGATGGAAAGTGATGGGTGAAATGCCAAGGTGTAGACTGCAACCTGGCTCTTGAGCTAAATGCCAGCATTTGGGATCCGAGTTCAGCCCTGTCTCAGCGGAAGGATCGAGCTGTGGAGAGTGGATGTGCGATATACCCTGATCATATCACATCCTGGGGCTGCCCCAGCCTGCCAGGTGCTATTTGTAGACGGGCTTTATCTGCTCCCCCGTACCATAGTAACTGGGCACCTCCCAGGTATCCTCTCTTGTGGGGTGAGCTGGAGCAGGGACCGAGCACAGAGAGACGAAAGGTTTGTCCGCCCGCTGCATTCGTCCGCTGTAAATTCGAGTGCGTGTGTGACTGGCCCATATGGACACTGCTCAAGCAGGCCGACAGAGCCCGGTTTGCAGGGCTGGAGTAACACACACCAGAGAACTTTCAGGGTGTGCAGCGGGGGCCACACAAGCCAGTTAGTAAGCAGCAAGCTGGCATCTACCCAAATTGACCCCCTCTGAGGCGGACGAAGGCACCTAAGTAACTTACCCTAGGAGTCTGTGGCAGAGCAGAAGCCGGACTGCCAGGCTAGAACCAACAAACCATCCTTCACCTGCCTTTCCTTACAGGTGGTGGAGTCTCTGCTTTAGCTCCAGGAGCAGGGGCTGGCGCTGAAGATTACATATGAGTTGCTGAGCTCTGTGTGCCTGTAGCCGTAGCTCATTGCAGAAGGACAGAGAGAAATAAGCGGTTGTGTGTATTGCCCATTTTAGACATGGAGACAGTGGGCTAAGTGACTTGCCCAAGGTCAACCAGCAAGTCAGTGGCAGAGCTGGGAATAGCGCTCAGGAGTCCTGACGCCTAGAAACAGCAAAACTGTCACGCTGGAGCAGACCTGCGCAGTGTCCTGCCGCGGCAGTCTGTCCATGTACAGATCTGCGACCCTCCCGCTCCTCTCTTACGTGAGGGATGAAGGAGTTGACAGTGGAGAAACGTACCATCACCGTGCCTCTGAGTTAACCACTCACAGAGGTGAATGGGGCAGCTCAGAGCTCCCAGAGCTGTTGTCCAGTGACGCTGGGTTCACATTGCTGAGGGTTTCTTTGCGGCCAGGGGCTGAGGGTTTTAAGCTAGAGCGAGGGGCCAGTGCACCGTCCCGCTGCGCCCCAACCCCGCTGAGCCTTGGCTGCAAGCGATGGCTTCGCCAAGCTAGCGTGTGGAGGAAGGGATGGCTGGAGCTCCCGGGCTGTAAATGAGCAATAACTCACCTCCAAAAAGAGCTGGCTGATCCTGTGCTCTGCCACAGACACCATGTGCGACCCGGGCAAGTCACTTAGCGGCTTGGTGCCTCGGTTGCCGTTAGTACCTGGGGCTCATTGCCCTGCCGCCCACGCATGTGTACGGATGTGTCACAGACTGGGCGGTGCTGAGGTCCTGTGGTGCTGGGGGCAGAGCGATACCCAAGACAGGTAGCTCACCCTGAGGATGGGCGTGGAGAAGCCATGACTCCCTCCCCAGAGCACTGTAAACTGGCTTGAACAGAATCCTAGACTCACAGGGCTGGAAGGGACCTCGAGAGGTCGTCTAGTCCAGTCCCCGGCATTCGTGGCAGGGCTAAGTATTCTCTAGACCATCCCTGACAGGGGTTTGTCCGACCTGCTCTTAACAATCCCCAGTGATGGAGATTCCACAACCTCCCTGGGCCATTTATTCCAGGGTTTAACCACCCTGACCCTTGGGAAGTTTTTCCTAATGTCCAACCTAAACCGCCCTTACTGCAACTTAAGCCCATTGCTGCTTGTCCTGTCCTCAGAGGTTAAGAAGAACAATTTTTCTCCCTCCTCCTTCCCAAGTGGAGTACTTTGCATTTGTCCTTATTGAAATTCATCCTATTTACTTCAGCTCATTTCTCCAGTTTGTCCAGTTCATTTTGAATTATAATCTATTCTCCAAAGCACTTGCAACCTCTCCCAGCTTGGTATCGTCAGCAAGCTTTACAAGCGTACGTTCTATGCCATTATCTAAATCACTGATGAAGAGATTGAACAGAACCGGACCCAGAACTGATCCCTGCGGGACCCAGGGCCCTCCTACCCATACGCAAAGTATGCAGCTGCGTAGGGCACCAGGAAATATGGGGCACCAAATTTCCGGGTGCCTTACGCACCTGCGTGCTGCTCCAGACCCAGCTCCGCCTCTTCCCCATGGCCCCGCCCCTGCTCCACCCCAGCCCTGCTCCCGCTCCACTCCTTGCCCAAAGCCCCGCCCCTGCTCTGCCCCCACCCCGCCTCTTCCCACCCCTCCCTGCCCCTGCTTCACCCCACACCCCTGAGAACTGCAGCAGGGCTGGGCCTGCACTCACCGGCGGTGGGAAGTGCAGGGACCCGGCCCCAGCCACGCCGCCTGGGAGTGCTGGGGGGTGGCTCCCCCATGCCCCCCAAGCCAACCCTGCCACCCCGTGGAGGCCTGTGGCCCCACACCCCCTCCCCCGCAATGGGGGCTGCGTAGGGCCCCAGAATAGCTAGGAATGGCCCTGGCAGGACCCCACTCGTTACACTCTTCCAGCATGACTGTGAACCACTGAGAACTACTCTCTGGGAACGGTTTTCCAATCAGTGTTATGCCCACCGTCTAGTAGCTCCATCTAGGCCTGAGCAAACAATCAGGGAGTTTACAGGTACGCAGCCCCCGTGCAAACCCGGGCAGTGGTCGGTGGTGTGGACCCCGGCCGAGGGGGGTGGCTGGGGAAGGAGGAATCTGACGGGAAGGCAGGAGGGGGCTGCCAAGCAGGTGTGGCCAAGGAGCCGGGGGCAAAGCTAGGAGGTGGCAGGTGTGAAGCCAAGGGGCCCGATCCTGCTCTGAGGTGTGAGTCCAGAGTCATTCCCGGGGGGATTACACTGTGCAGAGGAGCAGGGAGTCTGGGCCCAGACTGGAGGAAGGAGAAGAGCAGCCAGCTGCCCAGGCACCGTTAGGCACACACCCTCGACTGAGTGGGCGAAGCCGGGGGGAGCCCTGAAATCTGGCTAAACAGGCGTTCTGTGCATGTGGGCGAAGGCCGCCTTTCCTCGGAAAGGCCCCAGGGGCCTTGGCCTCGCTACGGGCAGAAGGAATTGCCTGAAATGGCATGGAAGCCCTTCGATTTGACAGATTTCACATTGGCCAGCACATGGGGCCAGGTGGGAGATGGGCCTTCCAGCCAGACCACTGAGAGCTACTCTAATGTCAGCCGCTACGTGACAGCAACTCCTCGTGGCCCACAGCAAAGGGTCAGGTTTGGGGGCTCATTATGCGGTGTGCTGTGCAGCCCTGACATAGGCCGGATCTGCACCTGGGGTGGTATGGGTAACATTGTAAAAAGCACCTAGCCAATGTTGGAGAGCCGGTCCCATTTTCAGAAGCAGTGGAGTCAATTAAGGTCAGATTTCCAAGGGGGTTTAGGCCCCTATAGATGCAGTTTAGCGCCTGCAGGGGTTCACAAAGCACCTGGCTCTCAATGAAATTCAGGCGAGATGGGAGCCTCGGCACTTTTGAACATCTCACAAGGCCCCTATTTGCATGTTAGGCACCTAAATGTGGTTAAAAATGTGGCCCTTAGGAGCCTAAATTTCACTGAAAGTCAATGGGACATAATTGTCCAAGCCCCTTCTGAAAATGGCTCCTAAATCACTAGGTGCTTTTTGCACAATGTGACATGGATGGAGTGGCACCGATTTACACCAGCTAAAGATCTGGCACGTTGAGGAATGAGCCTTTCCCTACCGCAGAGACCTTGCACTCATGATAGAGCGATTCTCCCTCGCTCTCTCTCCTCAGCCCTGATCTGCAGCCCCTTCTGCGCATGCCCCTCTGTGCTGACCAGTCCGAGACCATAGGGATGGCCACACTGTGTGGTGCTTTTATGACACAAATAGGGTCTTCAGTGCTTGCTTTAGGTGCTCATTTAGGTACCAAACTAATTTCACTTGTGCCCTGGGTTGGGCGGAGACTGTCAGGCCATAGCATAAAGCCCTGGCTATCTCTCTTTCCCTCACTCTGTTTCACTCTTCCTCATCCCTCTCTCCTCTTCCCTTCTCCCCAGAAGGAATCACTAGACAGACTACAGTCCCCTCTCAACCCTGCCAGCACAGCCTAGTCCAGGCCAGGCTCTGGTGCTGGAGCAAGGTGGGGCTAGGAGACTTGTTCCTTCTAGAGCAGGGGTTCGGAGGCCCCCCTGCAAGATGCCATAAAAACGCCATACCCCCTCCACCCCCCGCCACAACAGCTGTTTTTCTGCATAGCCAGTGGATTAACAGCTGTATTAAATGGATAATTATACAGTTAAACACACGCACACATCTATAATCATAGAGTCATAGAAGATCAGGGTTGGAAGGGACCTCAGGAGGTATCTAGTCCAATCCCCTGCTCAGAGCAGGACCAACCCCAACTAAATCATCCCAGCCAGGGCTTTGTCAAGCCTGACCTTAAAAACCTCTAAGGAAGGAGATTCCACCACCTCCCTAGGTAACGCATTCCAGTGCTTCACCACCCTCCTGGTGAAATAGTGTTTCCTAATATCCAACCTAAACCTCCCTCACTGCAACTTGAGACCATTGCTCCTCGTTCTGTCATCTGCTACCACTGAGAACAGCCGAGCTCCGTCCTCTCTGGAACCCCCTTTTAGGTAGTTGAAGGCTGCTATCAAATCCCCCCTCATTCTTCTCTTCCGCAGACCAAATAACCCCAGTTCCCTCAGCCTCCCCTCGTAAGTCATGGGCCCCAGCCCCCTGATCATTTTTGTTGCCCTCCTCTGGACTCTCTCCAATTTGGCCACATCCCTTCTGTAGTGGGGGGTCCAAAACTGGACGCAGTACTCCAGGTGAGGCCTCACCAGTGCCGAATAGAGGGGAACGATCACGTCCCTCGATCTGCTGGCAGTGCTCCTACTAATGAAAGCCAGTATGCCATTGGCCTTCTTGGCAACAAGGGCAGACCGCTGACTCATATCCAGCTTCTCATCCACTGTGATCCCCAGGTCCTTTTCTGCAGAACTGCTGTGACGAAGTGGGAACATTCTCAATGTTTTCTCTGAATACTGTGTGTGGGCCTGAGTTTCCCCTTGGCATTTCTTAAGTATCTAGGTGGTGGGATAAGGGGGTGTGATTGTTGCAGAGCCCTAGAGGGAAGGTGTGATGCTGTCTGCACAGAGAATGGCCGACACCCTGTCTCCTGGCAACTAAAGGACCTGGGCCCCTCTCCTGCAAGGTGACAACTGAAGATTTTGGAGAACAAAGAGATCAGGTGGCCTCCTTGCCCAGGGAAAGAGACAAAGGCCAGAGGAGGGGCTGGAGGGGGTCTTAGTTTGGAGCTGGCTGGGGAAATGGAGGGAGGCCCAGAACCAGGGCCTGGGCTCCCTACCCCCCAAGATGGACCTGACTGAGGGGTCCTGTTTTCTGTACCTACAAGCTCTGGTTTAGACTGTTCCTGTTGTCTAATAAACCTTCTGTTTTACTGGCTGGCTGAGAGTCATGGTGAATCGCAGGAAGTGGCGGGTGCAGGGCCCAGACTCTCCCACACCCCGTGACAACTGCTGCCGAGCCATTCGGACCCTAGTCTGTAGCGGTGCATGGGATTCTTCTGTCCTAAGTGCAGGACTCTGCACTTGTCCTTGTTGAACCTCATCAGATTTCTTTTGGCCCAATCCTCCAATTTGTCTAGGTCACTCTGGTCCCTCCCCTCCCCCCACCTTTGTGTCATCCGCGAACTTCCTGAGGGTGCAATCCATGCCATTCTCCAGGTCATTAATGAAGATGTTGAACAAAACTGACCCCAGGACCGACCCCTGGGGCACTCCACTTGGTACCGGCTGCCAACTCGACTTTGAGCTGTTGATCACTACCCGTTGAGCCCGATGATCCAGCCAGCTTTCTATCCACCTTATTGTCCATTCATCCAGCCCATACTTCTTTAACTTGCTGGCAAGAATACTGTGGGAGACTGTGTCAAAAGCTGTGCTAAAGTCAAGGTATATCACGTCCACACCGATTTCTCCATATCTCCAGAGCCAGTTATCTCATCATAGAAGGCAATCAGGTTGGTCAGGCATGACTTGCCCTTGGTGAATCCATGCTGACTGTTCCTGATTACTTTCCTCTCCTCCAAGTGCTTCAAAATGGATTCCCTGAGGACATGCTCCATGATTTTTCCGGTGACTGAGGTGAGGCTGACTGGCCTGTAGTTCCCCAGATTCTCCTTCTTCCCTTTATTAAAAGATGGGCACTACATTAGCCTTTTTCCAAACATCCGGGACCTGTTCTGATTGCCATGAGTTTTCAAAGATAATGGCCAGTGGCTCTGCAATCACATCAGCCAACTCCCTCAGCATCCTCAGATGCAGCGCATCTGGCCCCATGGACTTGTGCATGTTCAGCTTTTCTAAATAGCCCTTAACCTGTTCTTGCACCACAGAGGGCTGGTCCCCTCCTCCCCATGCTGTGCTGCCCAGTGCAGCAGTCTGGGAGCTGACCTTGTCTGTGAAGACCGAGGCAAAACAAGCATTGAGTACTTCAGCTTTTTCCACATCATCTGTCACTGGGTTGCCTGCCCCATTCTGTAGCCACACTTTCCCTTACCTTCTTCTTGTTGCTAACATATCTGTAGAAACTCTTCTTGTTCCCCTTCACATCCCTTGCTCGCTGCAACTCCAGTTGTGTTTTGGCCTTCCTGATTACACCCCTGCAGGCTCGAGCAATATCTTTATACTCCTCCCTAGTCATCTGTTCAAGTTTCCACTTCTTGTAAGCTTCCTTTTTGTGTTTAAGCTCCCTGAAGATTTCACTGTTAAGCCAAGCTGATCGCCTGCCATATTTGCTATTATTTCTGCACATTGGGATGGTTTGTTCCTGTGCCCTCAATAAGGATTCTTTAAAATACAGCCAGTTCTCCTGGAGTCCTTTCCCCCTCATATTAGCCTCCCAGGGATCCTGCCCATCAGTTTTCCGAGGGAGTCAAAGTCTGCTTTTCTGAAGTCCAGGGTCCATATTCTGCTGCTCTCCTTTCTTCCTTGTGTCAGGATCCTGAACTCGACCATCTCATGGTCACTGCTGCCCAGGTTGCCACCCACGTCTACTTCCCCTTCCAATTCTTCCCTGTTTGTGAGCAGTAAGTCAAGAGGAGCACGGCCCCTCGTTGGTTCCTTCAGCCCTTGCACCAGGAAGTTCTCCCCAACACTCTCCAAAAACTTCCTGGATAATATACAAAAGAAAAGGATAACATAGGTACAAAAATAAAAAACTGAACATTGTGTTCAAATATTAATATGCCTGAGCCTGGCTACCCGGGGCTGAAGCCCGAGCCCTGCCATGCAGGGCCCCTGTGGCATGGACACCTGGCCAATTACCCTGCTTGCTGCCCCCTGCTGAAGCCAATAGGTTTCAGTGTACCATTCAGGAAAATGAACACACTCTCTGGTTAAATAAAAAGCAATGTGTCCAAATAGCATGAGGTGAAGCGGCTTTTATTTTTTCTACGCTCTCGGATTTATTTTGGGGGACCCCCCAAAACATGCTCATGGCCCCCTGACCTCCCGGTTGAGACCCGCAGTGCTCGAGGGCTCTTTCACCAGGGCACGGGCCAGAATCTTTAGGGGGTGGGGAAGCAGGCAAAATCACAGACCGTTTGGCTGCCTGTCTGGCTAGCGTTCGCTTTGGCGCCCGTCACCGTCGTGTCTAAGGCTGGGATTTTCAGAAGGCCCGGCTCCCACTGACAGCCGATGGGATTTTGGTGCCCGATTCCCTTTGGCCTTTGAAGACCCCAGCCTAAGGCTGTGGCTACCCTAGAGCTTACAGTGGCACGGCTGTACCATGCAGCTGCGCTGCTCTAAGCCGACGGGAGGGCGCTCTCCGGTGAGCTTAACCCTCCAGCCGCTGTTCGGTGGGAGGAGACGCTCCCCCGCCAACACAGCACTGTGCAGACGAGTGCTTAGGTCAGTGCAACGTACGTCGCACGGGGGGGGGGCGGGTTATTCACACCCCTGGGGGACATAAGTTCAGCCACTACAGGCTATAGTGTAGGCAAAGCTGTAACATCTTTCTTCCTGCTCCCATGCCTCCTCCCGGCAGCTTAGCATCTGGGGAGGAAGCCGCATTTGTTTACATAGCTCGTGTGCCAGCTGGCCGCTGGGGAGCCCGTGAGCCACAAGACCAGGCTGCAGATACGTTCTGGGGTTGTGATTAGCTGTCGCACCCCGTGATTGGCCAGATAGCAAGGGTGCTCAATCTGGACACTTTCTTTTTGGGGGGAGGAGAGGCCACAGTTGCCTGTATAAGACAAAGCCCCTAATATCGGTAGGTCTGGTCACCCTCCCCAGTGAGGCAATCAAACCTCTCCTGGTGAATGACCCTGACAGTGTCCCAGTGCGACAACCTTTCACTTTCTCACTGACTCAAAGTAAAATCCACGGTGAATTCAGACAAGCCACAAGGTTGTTTTCCCTCTCACCATGATTAGTATCTATGACTCAAGAGAGAGGACTCCTGGCCAAGGAGGAACAAGGGTTGCAGCTGGCCTACAGAGATAGTGCACAGGAGGGAGATGGGTTTTCCTTCCTCGGGATAAACAGCCTGGGAAAAGGATCGGATCAACACAGGGAATTCCAGCCTAGGAGATTGAATTCGCCTCTGAACCCAGGAGATGGGGCCCTTCCAGGGTAGGGCTAAGGGGGACCGAGGTATCAGCATGAGGAATGGCAGGACTGAGCTGACATGTGCTCAGGAGATGGTGTTGCGTTCGTGGCATGCTTAGGGATCCCTGATGCATCAAGGTGAAGAAGGCTGCGAGGGGAGGAACATGGGGAGTGGGTTCAAGAGGGGGTAGTCCCTGAGGGCAGAGGACCCTGCTGGCATCGGTGGGTGGTGTTTGGACATGGGCAGATCAGCCAGTTCTTGGCATGGTCCCTTCTGCTTGGTGGCTTGGGGAAGACAGTGCTGGGGTCAGGCTCTTGAAACCCCACAAGAAGACGGGCCCAAGTCTACCCTGAACTTGATGGTGGGAGCAAGATACGGGCCCTGCAGTTCAGCGGCAGAGCAGCGCAGGGAGGAGGCCGGTCTCTACAGATAAGGGGGGGGGTCTGCTCTCAGGGGTTCTCAGCCTCTCCCAGACCCTTCCCCCATCTCGCCAGAACCCCCCTCCATTTAACAGTCCGGGAAGGGCAAGGTGCCTGTGACCCCCTGCAAACACTGTGTGGGCGTAGCCCCACTGCGGTCAGTGGGGGGCCACGGTGTCACACTGGAGCCTACTCTCCAGCACTCTCCCCACAACCCTGGGGGGCCTGTGGCAGGGGGCAGAGGGCACTGGTTAGATGGGGCTGCAGATGCTTGGCCCGGCAGGACTGGGCACCGAACATCTAGCAGCTGCGCGAAGCATCACTAGCGCATTCCTTCCTCCACAGGCGTGGAGAGTAGTGACGGGGACGCCTCCCAGCCCATCTTCTTCCACCCCTTCACCCACGGCTCCCAGGTCCTCCTGGATGAGTTCCACCACGTGGCTGAGCGGGCCAGCAGCTTCCATGACGGCATCGTCTTCACCAACCGGCCCATCCGGCTCCACGAGCAGGTGACGCTGAAGATCTTGAAGAAGGAGGCCAGTTGGCACGGGGGGCTGAGAGTGGGCTTCACAGCCATGGACCCCTCCAAGCTGGACTCCCGTCACCTGCCGCCATTTGCGTGCCCCGACCTGGTCAGGCAGGGGAAGACCTGGGCTGCAGTCCTGCCAGACCATTGCGTGGAGGAAGGCACCATCCTCACGTTCTGGGTGGACCAGAGAGGCAGAGTTTTCTTCTGCAGCCAGCAAGAGGCCCGGAGCATGTGCCTGCTGAGGGACGTCCCCGTGAGATGCTGTCTCTGGGCCGTCATTGATGTCTACGGGCAGACCAAGGCGGTCCAGCTTCTGGGTGAGCGTGCAGCAGCGCTGGGGGGCTGAGGCAGTGGGCTCACGGTCCACACGCATCCTGGGAGATGTTTCGTTCCCGCCTGCCAGGGCTGCAGGGGCCACTGGGCGGGGGATTCACGGCAGCACAGGGAGGGAAGCCAGGGGATGACAGACATGGCAATGGCTGGCTGCCCTGCTTGGCTTAGGACAGGGGAGCTCTGCAAGGCACCGCTGCCCTTTGGAGTGTGGGCATAGAGAGGCAGAATGCCCTGCCCCGACTGCCCCACCTCACACCCCCCTGACCGCGGGGGCCACCCACACTGCCCCACCTCACACCCTCTGACCACGGGGACTGCCCACACTGCCCCACCTCAAACCCACTGAGTGCGGGGGCTCCCCACACTGCCCCACCTCACACCCTCTGACCGCGGGGGCTGCCCACACTGCCCCACCTCAAACCCTCTGACCGCGGGGGCCGCCCACACTGCCCCACCTCACACCCTCTGACCGCGGGGGCCGCCCACACTGCCCCACCTCAAACCCACTGAGTGCGGGGGCTCCCCACACTGCCCCACCTCACACCCTCTGACCGCGGGGGCTGCCCACACTGCCCCACCTCAAACCCACTGAGTGCGGGGGCTCCCCACACTGCCCCACCTCACACCCTCTGACTGCGGGGGCCGCCCACACTGCCCCACCTCACACCCTCTGACCGCGGGGGCCGCCCACACTGCCCCACCTCAAACCCACTGAGTGCGGGGGCTCCCCACACTGCCCCACCTCACACCCTCTGACCGCGGGGGCTGCCCACACTGCCCCACCTCACACCCCCCTGACTGCGGGGGCCACCCACACTGCCCCACCTCCACCCTCTGACCGCGGGGGCCGCCCACACTGCCCCACCTCACACCCTCTGACCGCGGGGACTGCCCACACTGCCCCACCTCAAACCCTCTGACCGCGGGGGCTGCCCACACTGCCCCACCTCACACCCCCCTGACCGCGGGGGCCACCCACACTGCCCCACCTCCACCCTTTGACCGCGGGGGCTGCCCACACTGCCCCACCTCACACCCTCTGACCGCGGGGACTGCCCACACTGCCCCATCTCAAACCCACTGAGTGCGGGGGCTGCCCACACTGCCCCACCTCACACCCCCTGACCGCGGGGGCCACCCCCACTGCCCCACCTCACACCCTCTGACCGCGGGGACTGCCCACACTGCCCCACCTCACACCCTCTGACCGCGGGGACTGCCCACACTGCCCCATCTCAAACCCACTGAGTGCGGGGGCTGCCCACACTGCCCCACCTCACACCCTCTGACCGGGGCCCACTGCCCCACCTCACCCTCTGACCGCGGGGGCCACCCACACTGCCCCACCTCCACCCTCTGACCGCGGGGGCTGCCCACACTGCCCCACCTCACACCCTCTGACCGCGGGGGCCACCCACACTGCCCCACCTCCACCCTCTGACCGCGGGGACTGCCCACACTGCCCCATCTCAAACCCACTGAGTGCGGGGGCTCCCCACACTGCCCCACCTCACACCCTCTGACCGCGGGGGCCACCCCCACTGCCCCACCTCACACCCCCTGACTGCAGGGGATTTCAGAGAAGGCCGAAGGATCTATGTGACCAGCTCCCCCTGAACCCTTGCCCCCGTAGCTAACCCCAGCCCATTTCCCATCTGCTGCCTGTGGTGGGGGTTCTCGGGGTAGGGTGGGTGTGAGGAGAGGGTGGGGATTCCCCGGACTGCATGAACACCGATCTCCCTGGGAGCTGCGATCAGATTTCCTGACCCTCTGGGGCTTGGCACAGACGCCTGCCCTGGAGGGCCTGGCCTGGCCGCTCAGGGGGCTGTTGCAGGGTGGCCTCTGGTCCCCTCATTCCCTCTGGGGTCCGTCGAGAGAGGTTTATATTCGTTGAGGCTGATCCTGGACTCTGTGTTTTCCTCTTCTAGATCCCACGAGGCCCTGGGGAGGCGTCGGTGAGCCCGCCCCTGTCCCCAGGCCATCGCATCCTGCCATGCTTCATGGTCAGTGGCTGAAGGTGGCTCTTACCACCGGCTCCTTCTGCTCCATTTCCTCTTGGGGCATGGAGCCGACCTGGGAAGGGCCGTGTCCCGACATACATGAGAATGGCCAGAGTGGCTCAGCCCAATGGTCCAGCCAGCCCAGGATCTCATTGCTGGGTGCTGTGCCCGGCCTGTGGGCAGCCTTCCTGAACAGAAGGCCCTGGTAGCCCTAGGAGCTCTGGCTGTCTGGGAGCACGGCCCATCTGTCCGTTCTGGAAGTCCCAGCAGAGACGGGCTTCCTCACCTCCACTGACCGCTGAGGGTCACCTGACACAGCCCCAGGCTCAGGGTCGGAAGCGTGGCAGGTGCAGAGACACGGCTGGGACTGATGCCCAGCCGGCCGGGTTGCGAAAGGGGACAGCCCTCGGACAGGCTGTGTCCCGGGGTCAGCTGAGGGCGTGCCCACAAACTGCTTACAAATCCGCCGTCGCAGCGGTAGTGTCGGGGGGTCATTCCAAGGTGGAGGGGAGCTATCTCTGGTCCTAGCTCACGAGCGCCCCGGAGCTCTCGAGGGATGGGAAGGGTGGGCTCGGGCAGGACATTAGCCCAGCACATTTCTTGTTGGGCTCAGGGGAGGAAGCCTCGCCTGCCCCTTTAACGCCACGCTCCTGTCTCCCCAGCGCCGGCGTGCCGGGATTACAGCTCTCTCCCGGGAGGCTGCACGGAGGAGTGTGTCATTTGCTGCTCACACGAGGCCAACGCCCTGCTGCAGCCCTGCGGCCATGGCACCCTCTGCCACTGTTGTGCCCAGCAGGTCTTCCACAGCAACCGCCCTTGCCCCTTCTGTCGGGAGCAGCTACAGGACGTTGTTCTGGTCATCCCAGCTCCTGGGACACGTCTGCCTGTTGGGAACCAACCATGGCCAGGAGGATGAATGGACGCAGGGGTGGGGGGGTTTCTGAAACCTGCCCCAGTGAAAGGTAGAGCTCCTCCCACCCCCCGCACAACCCTGCTGCTGGCTCCCCTTGCTGGGGGTCTGGGCCATGTCTCCTCTGCCCCCCTCACTCTGCGCCTTGCACGGGTGATGACGCTCCCGTACTCTCCCTGGCTGGGCTGTTTCGCACAGAGCAGGGGAACTGGGGGCAGCCCCCATGACGAGGGACTCAGCCCAGCAGAAGCAAGGAAGGTGATGAGCCAAAATCAGCAGGCTCCTATTTCATGTTTTTTCTCATGTATTCGGGGGACCAGCCCCTGAGCAATCTCTTGCCTTCTGTCCATGCCAGTGATGGGGGTTCAGATGCAGGGAGCCCAAACAACAGCCCAGCTCCAGACCCCAACACTGGGGGAGGGGGGGGGCTCAGATTTAGGTCTGAACTCCACAGCTCCGGCCTGTCTGTGGGGACAGGCACTCCTGGCCCCACCAGGCCCTTTCCTCTGCCCCCTGTTGCCCCGGGAGTGGGGTCGACACTGTTCCCTAGGGAGAGCAGGGACATGCCAGCCAGAAGGGAGAATGGAGCGGGGAGGCAGGGGCCCACGGGAAATGTTCCTGGGAGAATTAGTCTGCCCAGTTCATCCCCTGCCCGTGTAGATAGCCCTACTGTCTGTAGTAATGTCCGGTGTCTGGAGAGAGGAGCTCTGTCTAACAGTGTAACTATGTAAATAGGCTGAAATGTGTGTAACGAGGTCTCAGTCCCTCCCATCAATGTGTAACTAGCTCCGTTGTACAGCCTGGCGTGTCTCACACACGTGCGCAAGGCAGCACCTCCCCCAATGAACTCAGCTTGCCTGCCGGGGGGGGGGAGGGGGGCTGCTACATCACAGCCAAGTGGGCGGCTTTCGCTTACCCAGGAATTTGGGGCCAGGCCTGATGCTGAGTCCGCTGGAGTCAATGGGAGCCTTTCGATTTGTGCCGAGGGGCTTTCGATGAAGCCCTGAGTGACGGAGGCTCAGCGAGCGTCACGGAGATGGGCCTCGTCGAGGCAGATGGATCCAGGGCCAGATGGGGGCCTCCGGGGCCAGGAAGCTGGGATGAACTGAACCAGCAGCTGTTCTTAATGCAAGGGAATTCCTCCTACCTCGTGCAGCCAGGGGAGGGATGCCAGACCACAGGGGCCGGAGGATCCTGGGGGAGTGGAAAATGCCTGGACTTTCCTGCTGCTTTGGGGAGGGGAATTTCATGGACCACTCATGTGACCCTCACCCAGGGATGTGTGGGAGGGAGATGTGGACCTTTTCTTTACAGTCACCTTGGTGGCAAACTGGCCCACAAATGTCACTCAGTAGGGCCTGATCCTGAGTTCTATGCCAGCCTCTGCCAGTGGCCTGCTGGGTGACCTTGAGCAAGTCCCTCCTGCTCGCTGTGCCTCAGTTTCCCCATCTGTAAAACAGGAGTAATAGCACTAACCCCTTTTGTAAAGTGCTTTGAGATCTATGCTTGAGAAGTGCTAGCTGAGAGCTGGGTATGGTTTACTGTTGGCTTTGGATCAAGCACCATCATTTGGGATTAAAAGTAAAACAGTATGTAAAGCCCCTGGGCCAGATTCTGATCACAGTTACACCAGGGTAGATCCAGAGTGAAGACAACTCCCCATGCACAGCATGCCCCGGCCACTATGCCTTACCATCATGAGCTGGGCTGTGTGTTGCGGTGACTCCTTTGAAAATCCCACGCCTTAATCTTTAAAACCACCTGCATGCCAATGGGGAGAGGGGTGTGGCGTTCGCATCCCTATGGACATGCTGCCAAAGGCTTGTCTGTTATTGTTAATAAACTGTATTTCTTATGGCCTGGCTCTCTCCAGGGATTTCTGTTTGTCTTCCATTCCAGCCACGGTGTGGCTAAGGCCCCAGAAGCTCCTCGGTTATGGGAGGTATGGAATGGTTGCTGGGTTTGGTATTGTGAGTAGAGGTTTTGTTGTATGAGCAAGAGGAGGGGCTATTGGCCACATCAGATCCTGGGGGTCTGAGGCCAGAGGGGTCCAGTTTCCTTCTCCTTCTGCTTCTGCCTCTTTCCAGAGTTTGGGTCATTCCTTCCGAGGTTCTTTGATGTTTTGAGACCATTTTTATACCAATAAAGCAAACGGGAGGAGCCAGTGTTGCGGAGTGACCGTACAACAACCAAAGAGGCTGGCCCAGCACCATCAGACTCGTGAACAGCATCGCTGACCCTGGCTGCTGCCAGAGCACTTGTCATCCCAGGCTTGGTCTACACCTAAAACGTAGGTCAACATAGGCATGAACCCCCCCGAGAGATGTGCACCTTGGCATAGGCAGATTATCCAATGGGCCCACGGGAACGGGCGCCCCAGCCGAAACTGGAAGCCTGGAGACCTGGCAGAAGCCGCGAGGCAGTCAGGGGAAGCCCCAGTGCCCCGACCACGGTCCCCAGCAGAAGTGCGGGGCAGGCAGGGCAGGGTGCGGCCCCGGGGCCTGGATGAGCTCTCGCTCCCTGCCACCGCCTCAGGGCCATGGCAGGGGGACAGAGCTTCGCCGGTCTTGGGGCCATGGACGGGGAGTGGGCAGAAAGGGCCGAATGGGGAGAGACCGTGGGTGAAACGGGGACAGGGGGAAGGAGCAGGGCCGGGGGCAAGGCCGCAGAAAGAAGGGGCAGAACGGAGGTGGGGCCGCAGGTAGCAGGGGTCAGGCAGGGCCATGGTTCCGGCACCGGGGTCCCCCCACTCGCTGCGGCCCCAGGAGACTTTAATCCGCCTCTGCACTGGTGCTGCTCGAGCTAGTTCTGCTCCTGGGGAACTCGCCCAGCGACCGAGCGGGCGGATTCGTCACAGCGCCGGGAAACCTGCGGCCTTTGCTGGGGCAGGTGTCTACACTGCAGCTGCGTGGGTGCAGACATGGCGCCACCCTGCAAGGGCAGGGCTCTGGGCACTCTCCCCACCCCAAGAGCAAGGGGCTCGTCTCCAAGGGGCTTGTTCTGCCCCAGTGCAATCCTGACTGCGCTAGGAGTTTGCAATGGGTGTGGCTGCAAACTGCGCAGACAAGGCCTAAATGGTGAGACGGAGTGGAAGTGCACCGAGGGAGGCACCCGGCTGCAACTTCAGGGTCCCACTGATTACGGACTCCTTCTGAGCCGAGGATGTAGTCTCCTTCCTTCCTTCCGATCTCTCTCAAACCCTCCCCAAGAGGTGAGCCCTGATTGCTTAAACAAGAGCTGCATTCAACGCCTCTGTGCCTCTTCCCTGGGGCATGCAGGGTCACTGCAGGAGGCCCGTGCAGGGGATATCCCACTACTCATGCCCTCTGGCAGGCTGTGAGTAACCAATCCCCCATAAATCAGTCCCACAATCACCTGCACGCAGGACTCTGGCCTAGAGGAAACACACAACGCTGATCACCCTGTGACTTGGTTTCCTATTACCAGGACCCTTACTCCAGGAGGCTTTGAGTCAGAACCTCAGCTGCTGTAAATCCAGACTAAAGCCAATGGAGCTGCCCCTTTACACCTGCAGGGAGTCTAGCCCAAGAAGAGCTTCAGAGGCCACCTGACAAGAGGCCGAAGGGGCAGGGGAAGATCCCAACCATGTTCTTGTCTTCCTCACGTGACATCAGTGATTGGCTTTGGGGCCCACTGACTCTCAGCCCGCGTCTAGACTAGACTTTAAAGAGTGACTAAGTCTCATGGCATTTGGTTTCCTTGAAACCCCAGCTCCTGGAGTCATGTGATCACACGAGAATCTCAGCTCACACTTTTAAAAGTATGTTTTTAGCCCCCCCTGGTTGTGGCAAGAAGTTTGAGCACGTGACTTGTGTGTGCCCCAGAACCCAGCAAATCCCTTAAAACCTCGTGATGGTGTGAGCCCTAAGGCAGGTTTTGAACACCTGGGCATGGCCATACTGGATACGCTGGAAAAGTGCAACACAGGTTTGTCACGGAGTCCCTGGGCGATGCTCTAGAACTGCTCCCCATGAAGTCAGTCAGGACTCTGGGGTAGTCGCCTTTCTGTGAGCAGCCTGTCTTCAGGACACGCAGCTCACTCAGCTTCCACCTTCCTGGGTCTGACCTCGGAGCATTCAGCATCCTCTGCCCCTCCGTGCGCTTCCCACAGCGAGTCCGCTCAGGCGGGGCTCCTGGGGAAGCCAGAGGGTCCTGCACCCCAACTTCGCAGTCAGACGTGACTCTCAGCCAGCCAGTAAAACAGAAGGTTTATTAGACGACAGGAACATGGTCTAAAACAGAGCTTGCAGGTGCAGAGAACGGGACCCCTCAGCTGGGTCCATTTTGGGGGGGGGCAGTGAGCCAGACAACCACGTCTGCACTTCACTCCATGTCCCAGCCAGCCCCAAACTGAAAACCCCCTCCAGCCCCTCCTCCTCTGGGCTTTGTTCCTTTCCCGGGCCAGGTGGTCACCTGATTCCTTTGTTCTCCAACCCTTTAGCTCTCACCTTGCAGGGGGGGAAGGGCCCAGGCCATCAGTTGCCAGGAAACAGGGTGTCGGCCATTCTCTGTGTCCAGACTCCTGCACACCCCTGCCCTCTAGGGCTCTGCAATGATCATACACCCTTACCCCACCCCCTAGATACTTAAGAACTGCCTAGGGGAAACTGAGGCACCCCCACACTATTCAGAGGAAACATTAAGAACAGTCCCACTTCGTCACAAGGTTCCTCTGAGAGCATGTGGTAATTTCCGTGGACTGTCGGCGAGACTCCACACAACACATCTGTTTATTGTGTGTACTGCAGCAGTACCTGGGATGTAGACTTCAATGAAGCCATGACAAGTCACAGATGCCAAGGCCAGAAAGTCCACTGTGATCATCTAGTCCAGAGGTCCCCAAAGTGTGGGGTGTGCTCCCCCTAGGGGGGGCGTGGAGGAACATCTGGGGGTGCGCAGAGTCCAGGCCAGCCCCCACAGGGCTGGGGAGGGAGCACCACCCAGCCTCATCCTGCCCCCAGCCATGTTCCCGGCCCCCAGCCCCACGCCTGGCCCTGGCCCCAGCCTCAGTGTGGCTCCATTCCCGACCCTGCGCCAGCCCCCAGCCTCGGCAGCTGGCCATGGCTCCGATCCCAGCCTGGGGCCAAGGTTGGGAGCAAGGCTGGGAGCGGAGCCACACATGGCTGCAAGCCCAGCTGCCGGCCCCACAGCAGTCTGGCTGCGGCTCCACTCCCACCCCCAGCCTTGACCCCTGGCTGCTGCCCCAGCCTCGGCCCCCGAGGGGGTCGTTGCCCACCCCCGTCCCTGGGACTTCTGCCCCATCCAACCCCCCGCGTTCCTTGATGCCCCCCAGAACCACTGCCCCATCCACCCCCATCTCCTGACTGCCCCCAGAACCAGGCAGGAGGGTCTTGTGGGCCACCTTAGTGGGTGCCCACCCTGCCCCTAAGAGCCAGAGGGACCTGCCGGGGGGCGAGGTGAGGAGTCCCGGCAGGGCTTACCTGGGGCAGCTCCCAGGAAGCATCCGGCAGGTCCCCCTGGCTCCTAGGGGCGGGAGAGTGTAGCTGGGGGGGGAGCACGGGAAGCGGCCGCTCCCCCCATTGATCACATCAAAAGTGGCACCTTAGGCGCCGACCCCCTGGGTGCTCCGGGGCTGGAGCCCCCACAGGGAAAATTTGGTGGGTGCAGAGCCCCCCCCGGCAGCTCCCCACCCCGCGCCCGGCCCCAGCTCACCTCCGCTCCGCCTGCTCCCCTGAACGCGCCGCCCCGCTTGGCTTCTCCGCCCCCCGCGAATCAGCTGTTCGGCGGGAAGCCGGGGGGGGCGCACTGAGAAGCAGGCGGCGGCTTCGGGCTCAGGCCAAGGGTGGCAGAGGTGAGCTGGGGGGGGGCTTCCCTGTGCCCTCCCCCCGGTTACCTGCTGTGGCGCAGGGAGCCCTCCTCGCCCCCCCCCCAGCTCACCTCCACCACCCTGGGCCTGAGCCTGAAGCCGCCACCTGCTTCTCAGCCCCTCCCGGCTTCCTGCCGAACAGCTGATTCGCGGGAAGCTGGGGGGGCAGAGAAGCTGGGGGGGGCGGGTTCAGGGGATGGGGAGCTGCTGGGGGGGCGCTCTGCCCCCATCAAATTTTCCCCGTGGGGGCTCCAGCCCCGGAGCACCCAGGGAGTCGGCACCTAAGGTTCCACTTTTGGCCGGTTAAATTTAGAAGCCCTCGCGGGACAACCGGTTCTAAAAGGGCTTCTACATTTAACAACCGGCTCCAGCTCACCACTGCCCTTACCCCTGTCAGCCCCCCGCCCAAGCCATGGCCCCACTCCTGGCCCTGGCTCCAGGGAGTCTGTGGGACAAAGTTTCTCCTCTGCCTTGGTGGGTCCTGCATTTTTTGGCAGATTTGCTCACCTCAGAGGTTCACAGCAGCCCTCAGTTTGGCCACTTCTGCTAGAGGCTCAGACCGGCCGTTCACTCAGCCAACCTCATCGCTGGCCGGCATGGGGGAAACGGAGAACAATCCCCGCAGTCTCTGTGTCCCACCTAGTGGGTCAGGGAGGGCAGATCCCTTTCCAAATTACACCTTCCCTTCTGGTGTTTCTCACAGACCAGGTCAACTCCTCCTGTGTTGAATCAGGAATGGATGCAGGGAACCTGGGCCCACCCTCTACACCGGGTTCCAGCCCAGAGCCCTGTGGACAGCAGCTGTCTACAGTGTCCCCTGTATCAGCTGTGTGACAGCTACAACTCCCTGGGCTACTTCCCCATGGCCGCCCCCCAGCACCTTCTGTATCCTCACAGCAGGATCTTCCTCCTGAAGTCTGATCACGCTTGTACTCCTCAGTCCTCCAGCAGCCCGCCTTCTCACTCCCTGCTCCTTGCACTCCCCCTCACTAACTGATGG